CCCACTCTGCAGGAAGTCTGCTTCTCCCTCTGCCTCTCTCTCTCTCTCATGAATAAATAAAATCTTTAAAAAAAAAAAAGAAATTAAATATTACCAAACACATTTTCAAGCACCTACTAAATTGCTCCGAGATTGATTTCTGGGTTTGAATTTTGACTCTGATACCTACTGTTAGAAGAAGCAATCTGCCATGGACCCTGAGCATCTACGCACATTCTTGCAGGATATGCTAAGAATGCAAGGTCTTGACTCCTCTTTATCTGGGCCCTTTCTTAGAGCTGTGTTTTGCAGTGAGAAACCTTGAAGGATGAGAAAAGCCTCCTCCCAGACTAAAATCAGGCTTACTTCTGTTGGCTGTAAGTGGTGAATCCCCCCGAGCTCAGTGGCCCTACCCTGTAACGTTGTAACACATTATGTGTGCAGACAGCCGTCATGGGCCCAGCACCACCCCGTGGGACCTGTGAAGAATGGGAACCAACATGAATGAACACAAAGCTCTCTCTGCTTTGCCACAGTAATGAGGTCCTAAGACTGACTCAGGAATTTTGTGTCATCTGCCAGCATCCACGAAACAAGAGGCTAACTGTTTAGCTCGCAAGTAGGATTCACTCTCAGATCATGCACAGTTCTTAACACATATGAACTGCATGATCTTGGACACATTAAATAAACTTTCTGAGCTTTTGTTTCCTCATCAGCAAAATGGATAATAATAGTGTTTACCTTATAGGATTGATATGATGATTAAATAAATCAAAATCCTGGAATATAACGTGTGCTCAAAACTTAGTGATGATTTAACATTATAGTAGTAGGGTCCTCTGTAGCGTTGATGGGATAGGGCATTGGAGTGACAGATACCATGCTATGAAAAACACTGTTGGGGACGCCTGGGTGGGTCAGCCGGTTGGGCGTCTGCCTTCGGTTGGGGTCATGATCCCAAGGTCCTGGGATCGAGTCCCACTTCCAGCTCCTTGCTCAGTGGGGACCCTGCTTCTCCCTCTGCCGGCTGCAACCCCTGCTCGTGCTCTCTCTCTCTCTCTGACAAATAAATAAATAAATAATTTTTTTTTTTTTTAGAAAAATACTGTTATTCCCCCAGGCAGGCCCTTGCTGTCCACCTGGCTAAGTACATTTCCACTATTATACCACCCTGCCCATTTCCTTTGTAGCACTTTTAATGATTTTTTTAAACTCTTTTTTAAAGTTTTAAAGGCAGACGCTTAACCAGCTAAGCCACCCAGACGTCCTGACTTGTTATGATTTTTAATTATTGCATTCGCTGACTCATTATTCCTACGAGAATATTATAACAACAAAAAAATCAGGAAACCTGTCTGTCTTCAATATATTTCTAATGCTTAGCCCAGTCCCTGATACGAGGTTGCTGCTCTGTAGATTTTTCTGGGGGGATGGGAGTCTAGATGAACATATAAATGTATGAATGGATGGGTGTGTGGGTGAGTGGGTGGATGAATGGATGAGAAAGCTGGTGCTCCCTAAATATTTTCCGGATAAATAGATGGATGGATGGAATGATGGGAAAATAAAGGGATGCCTGGATACTTGGCCGCTCAGATTTTCACCTCCTATCCACGAGGGGGCGCAAAGAGACCGCGCGCGCGGGTTCAGCCCGGGAGACGCCGCTCTAGGCCGCAGCCCGCGCCCCAGGTGCATTTCCGCCGGCGCTGGGCGGATGGGGGAGGGGGTTTCCTGCGGCTACAGCCGCTTTCCCGAGCGGTCCCGAACCGTTCCGAACCGTCCCGAACCGTGCCGCAACCTTCTCGCGTCGTTCCGTCTGACCCCGCCAACGACAGTACCCGCGCCCCGGGTGAGTCACTGCGGGGCCGCGCTGCACAGGGACCCCCGGCGGCCTCCAAGGCCGGTGCTGCATCCCCCCTCCCCGACAGGAGGAGAAACTGAGGCCCGAGGGGGCGGGGAGAGCCGGCGGAGGTCAGCCCGGATTCCGGGCCCGGCTCCTGGCTCCGTGTCCGGCCCCTCCGCCGGGTGCGGCTCTCTCGGGAGGCGGGTGCTCGAGAAAGGGGCCCCGGGTCCGATTCCCCGCCCTCAGCCCGCCCGCGGGGAACACTCGGGTCGCGCTAACGACCAGCAGCGGGTCCGGCGACGCGCGGGCCGAGTGCCGCGGCGCGGGCCGCGCAGCCGCGTGTGTTCCCGGGCCCGTGGGGCGCCCCGGACCCCGCGATTTTCACGCACTCACCCGCCCCCGGCTCCGGGCCTTGAGTCCCCCAGAGCCGTTCATCGGTTGCCTGCGGAGTGACCTGAGGAGCGTGAACCCGTTCTGGCGTCACCTGTCTTTAACGGAGAGTGTGAAAGCCCCGGGGGTGCAGAGCGGTTGTCTGAGCTTTCGGGGAGGGGGGGGGCGCTCGCGGGGCCGCAGAGGGGCAGCTTGGCACTAAAGCCCCTTCCCGGTTCTCTTCCGTGCCCAGGCCGTGCGGGCTCTGCGGCTCTCTTGGGAGCAGATGGAGACTGTCCCTTGGACGGCTTTGCGGGCCGTGCCGCAGGCAGCACCCCTGTCTGCCCTGCAGGGCCCTGATCCGCAGCGCCTGATGCCGCCCCTGTGTGCAGGGGTGAGGCCTGCTGGGTAAGTGGTGCTGCGCGTGAGCAGCTCGACCAGGGGGCTCGTTGCCTTCCTGCCACAGCGCGGTGGGGGGGTGGGGGGGTCCTGGAGCTCAGGTTCTGAGAACCCTTCTTGCAAAGCCCTTGTGCAGAAGGGCGTCTGGCGTGGTAGGTGGGGTGGGTTTGGGGTCAGAGAGGTCTGGGTTCAGATCCCGGTTCAGCCCACCCCTGGCCAGCCGCATAACTTTGGCTCAGTTCCTTCCTTGTCCGGAGCTTCACTTTTAAGTGGGGAAACTGCCAGAGCTCTGGGAGGACAGAGGTCTTGTGTGTGTCCTTTGTTTTTGAGCCCAGGGTGCCTGACACGTAGTAGGTGCTCAGGCTGTATGTGTGGGGTGAATAAACAATGTCGGTGTTTTTGCCCGGAGTTAGTCTTCCCTTTGATGATGGGAGATGGAATCTTTACCTGAAGTGGTGATGATGCTCTGGGTCCTGGGCTTGGCGGGGCAGCTTTCCCCTGCCTGGCAAGATAGCAGGCTGCTAACATGGGGTGCCCGTGTCCAGGTCATTGATAGCGCAGGGAAAGGATTTGCTGAAAGTGTTTCCCATGTTTGGAGGATCCCTTCCTGTCCCTTCCAAACCTGGAGCATTCCCGCACTTCCTCCTTTTTACCACCTTTTTGATGTCTCCTGTCACCTGGTGCCAATGTCGTGCTCATGGGTAGTACAGGCAAAGGATTCAGAGAAGAGTTGTCCTGTAATTGGAGAGTCCACATCCACACCTTCCAGGAGTTTTCCCACATTCCATCTTCTCCGCAGACACGTTGGGCCTCAGGGGCAGTGGTCTGCGCATTAGTGTCCCTGTTGGGCTCTGACTTCCTATCCGTGCTGTTGGGAGCCAGGCTGTGTGTGTTACTTGAGTTTTCCTCGATGTCCAGCGGAGTTGCTGCTGGGCAGCTGTGGCACACTCCCGTAAATCTGGCCTTGGCATCCTTTTCAGCCTATCCCTGGTTAATGATGCATTCATCAGCATTGGCCACCCTGTCATAGACCACGCACTGTCTCCCTCTTTAGAATTAACTACTGTCCTTTTTACAAGGAAATAGTGGGTCTGTGGAGGAAATAGTAACAGCCAGCATTTGTCGAATGCTTACTTTACTCTCTGGCAACTACTGTGCTAGGCCCTTTCCTGATGCCTACCATGCCTTGCTGTGAGCAGGGACAAGTTGGTGCCCATTCTTGGGTTTTGGTCTGTTGCAGATGAGCCCACCATATGCAGAGCCATCATGGGAGTTGTATCAGGAATATTCTAGACCCCAGTGTCCTTGAGGTAAGATTTCTTGTCTTTTCTCTGGAGTGTTGGTTCCTTGCATCTGGTATAGTCAAGTGTGGGTTCCTAGCGGCTTCGTATGAAGGCATAGGGGAGCTGAGAGGTGAGAAGGTAATGTCCGTGAGTCCCCAGCTCTGTCCCCTCAATCCCAGGCAACCTAGATCATATCTGGCCCTTGATATGTCCTCAGTGCCTGCTGCAGAGGAAGGGTCTCTAGAGTCCCACTGGGTAATGAGAGCTCTCTGGGGTGCCTGCCTTCCGTCCTTGGAGTGACGGCAGAAGCATGTTGTAATTGGAAATGAGACCCACACATCAGAGACTCCTGTCCCTGGCTTTGAATCCCCTTGTGCTGCTCTCTCAGTGACCTATTCAGAACCTTATTTTCTTCATTTAAGAAACAGACTTATGATAGAGGTGATTTCTGTGCTGCTTAAGACCGCAGGATTCCTGTCATTTCCAGCCCTACGATTTTCACAGCGTTTTTGCCCAAAGTGTCTTCTCTTTGATTCCCCTTGGCAGGGAGGTTCTATGGGGCTTTTGCAAGAATGGCCACTCCTGAGGTCCTGTGCTTGGCTGGGTGGTTTCCCCAGATTCAGTCTATTCCAAAGGCTAGTAGTGCCTGCATCTCTTCCTAGGTCTCTCTCTGCCCTTCATGCCCCTGCATTCAAAAGCGATCATGGGCTGCCTGTGCTCTGGTCATTGATAATGCAGGGAGAGGAATTGTTGAAAGCGGCTTCCCGTATTTGGAGGGTCCACACCTGTCCCTTCCAAATGCTGACGCTTTCACACACTCCTGCTCCTCTCCAGCTAGTGCTCTCTGGTCTCAGGCATTGAGTGCTGCTGTGTGAGAGTCAATGACGGGACTCTGTAGTTTGGCCTTTCTCAGCTTGGCCTCCTGTTGTGGGAAACCAGGCTATGTTTGTGTCCAAGTTTAGGTACTTTATAGGGTTTAAAGAGCCAGGATGAATTCTGCATAAGGATTCTGTGTGATATGGGTGGTTTATACTGATTGCCATAAGGTTTTCAAAAGAAAGCAGCTTTTTGGATTTGGTGGCCCAAATGTGATGTGATGGGAAATGTGCATTGGGTGGTGGTGGGCAGAGCAGCACGAAGAAGAGTTTGACGCTGGGGTGAGCACAAGCACCTGGGAGACAGAGTGCAGGGATGTAAGGACAATGGAGGGAGGCTGAAATGGTGGCCTTCACTCCCAATTGGGGGGGTGTGCGTATGGGGCTCAGTGGGAGGAGCCTCTGAGCTTTAGCTCTCCAGCCATCTGTCTACCAATTACTATATCTGCTCTTGCCCTGAAAACACCCATTTTTTAAGGCCGTGTTTATTTTGACTCTTCTCTGTGAGCATTGGGATTCATTTTTGAGCTGTGTTTGGGGTGAAAAAAACCTGGCAGCTCATGCCTGATTAATTGGGGCTTTCTCATTGATAACAGCTTGGAGAAAGATGAGATCACGTTGGAACCCAGACACTTGTGACCACCTGCTCTCTGGCATCCTCCTCACTCTAGGAGAGCTGCCTTGGATCTGGAGATTGCTGGAGGAAGCCTGAGGGGATGGAGGCACTGGCCCTCTCAGGATGACCTGGGTCTCAGCTGCCCTGGAGAGAACTCCTCGTGGTGAGTTAATGCCAAGGGGCCAAGTCAGCCTGTGTTCCTGATATGGAAATTCCAGGCTGCTGGCCTCATTGGACTTTCTCCTTTAGATTATGCTGGGATTGATCGTGGACACTAGAGTAGTATGATGAAGAATAATGTTGCCATGTGAAGCATCACCAGACCTTCTTACCCTGTTGCCTCAGCACAGCATGGAACGACTTTTCTCTGTGTAAGCAGGCCCAGTAAGCAAGGAAACCCCTGGGACCCTAGAGGCTTGTGGTCCAGAGCTAGAGACTTCAGCTGGTTCTGCCGCTCCCCCAGCGGTGTCACCGAGCACCATGAACCAGGAAGACCGGTTCCCTTCCACCTGGGTCACGTTGTCCAGCAGCCTCCACGTCTCCCCGCCTACTCCTCCCGTAACTTTTTAGAACCAAGAGTTTCAGTACTGTGCATCGTTGTCCTCTCACCCACCCAATAAATCTTGAAACTGCCCTGCTGCTTGTTTTTGTTGTTTTTCTTCTCTTTTTAAGTCCATACCTCTATGTGCCGTCATGGGGTGGGTCATGAGCAGATCTTCCATATTTTACTCACTGAGATGTTCCGCTTAGCACACTCCCAAGGCTGACCTAGGGATAGGAGTTGGGATGTAGAATTTGGACTAGGGGTTGAACAATCCCAAGTGCTTCTGGGGGGGCTCAGGTTTGGGAGAAAAGGAAAACTTTAGAATTGTTGGCTGAGGGCGCCTGGGTGGCTCAGATGGTTAAGCATCTGCCTTCGGCTCAGGTCATGGTCCCAGGGTCCTGGGATCGAGTCCCACATCGGGCTCCCTGCTCCTTGGGAGCCTGCTTCTCCCTCTGCTTCTCTCTCTCTCTCTGTCTCTCATAAATAAATGAATAAAATCTTTAAAAAAAAAAAAAAAAAAAAAAGAATTGTTGGCTGAAGGACATCTGGGCCCGGGCTTTGGAAAAGAGTACGACGGTGGGGTGGACACAGAGGCAGAGTCAGGGGCTGAAGTCCTGGAGGAGGCAGGAGTGCCCTGAGTGCTGGGGCCAGGTTTCCCTCGTGGGATTTTGGGAGATGGTTCTGAGCAGGGGCGGGCGTGGCATGGGCGAGGAACACCCGTCCTTTGGAGAGCTCTGGGGCTGGGGTAGGCAAAGGCTAGGTTTCGGAATTTCTGTTGCTGTTGCCACATGGTAGATTTGGTCTCTGGGAGTTCTATTCAATGACAGAATGGCAGTGGTGTGCCCCGCAGAGGGAGAAAGGGAGGCGTTGATTGTCCATTCCTTGCATGGAAATTGAAATCAGCTTGATCAGGGCTGAGGTCAAAACCACGTAGTGAGGCCTACCTTTGTGAGTTCGGCACCTTGATGGCCTCAGTCCCCAGGAGGGATTCTTGGGGCTGAAGCGTCTACTCTGCCCACCAGCTCTGGCAAAGGCCCTTCTTTCCCCCTCACCCCCCTCCTGAACTCCCACCCAACGTCACCCGCTCTCTCATGAAGTTCCCCCACCTACTCCACTCTCTGGGCCAGTGTCACCCAACCATGGCCCTGGTCCTCTCGTGAGAAATGAACGTGTTTTTCCCCAGCTTGGCCCAAGTTCCTTTCCGGTGGAGTTTAACTGTTGGCTGTTGCCTTGCTATTTGTAGATGTCTTCTCTCTCACACTGACCAGCCCCTCGTCTCAGGCAGATTCCATAGCACTGTGTCAGCTTTGGGGAGCCCTGTGCGCTGCATTCCCATCCCCTTTATTCTCTTTATGTTCTCATCATTTTCTTAAACTGCCTCCCCGCCCCGCACCTCAGTCCTGTGGCATCTCTGCTGCCACTTGGTCCATGATGTGTAGGAGGGGGCAGCGACGGAGTGCGGGGAAGAAAGGAGGAGGTGACATTGCCATGGTTGCTGAAACAGCCAAGGGAGGGGCGTCTTGGGGCTATGGAGGCGGATCACTGACCGTGGCTTGGCCCAGCATCACCAAAATGTCCTTCCCAGTAAGCCCAACTGGTCAGGTTGCAAAGGTGTCAGCCATCCGTTGCCCTGTTTCTGCGGCACCCTAGTACAAAGGCGGCCCGGGGAGATCAGGGAGGTCCTCGCCGCAGCAGCCGGCGCACAGTCCGCACTCAGAGCTCAGCTCTCCTCAGTCAACAACTCGTTCACTTTCAAATTGTAAACGATCCTTGCCCCTGGCCCAGCCTCTTGGTCTGCCCTCCCCTGCCCTCTGCCCCCCCGGCCCCATCTGAGCCTCAGCCCTAGCATTGCCATTCCATTCTCCAGGGTACCTGCGGGGCCCTCCTCACTGTCCACGGTCTGCCTCTCCGTCCTCACCCCACCCGCCACCCCCCGGGAGCACCAGAGGCCCCAGCCGTGCTACTACTGAAGGCCCCTGAACGTGCTCTCCCTTTCCTGGCCCACATGATTGGAATGCATCCTCCATGTCCGAGGTTGCCCTGACTCAGCTTGTGTCACTTCTTTCAGGAAGCCTTCCTTGGCTAAACCCCCAGCCAGACTGGATTCCCGGCCCTTCCTTTCCTTCATACCCAGTGTCAATCGTATGCAGCACCGTTCTAGGAATCGGTCAGCAAAAGAGCAAACCCGTCTTCACGGTACTTAACATTTTAGAGGACAGAGACAGACCATAAATAAAGTACTAAAATGTGTAGCATGCTAGAGAAGGGCTAAGGGAAAAAATAATGAAGCAGGGAAACGAGACAGGAAGTGTGGGGCAAGAAGGGGAGTGGCATCTGAAACTGAGCAGATAGGGAAGGCCTCACCTGGCAGGTGTGATTGGAGTCAAGGGAGGGCCTCTCATCTCTGGGCGTTCATGGCAGCCTTGCTGCCTCCATTACAGTGTAGACGGGGTGGTAGGAAGCTTTCCTCTGGGGTACCAGGCCCAGGGAACTGGGGGGACAGGAGGCCGAAGAAGCCACTGCTATACGCTGTGCCTGATTATGAATGGCTGCTATGTGGTGAGGGTGGCGGCCCATTCAAGTTGGGACTGGCCAGTCAGACTAGGCTGTGCATGTCTCGAGGGCGGGCTCCGTCTCTGCCAACTCCGCAGCCCCCTTGCTCACCTCAACCACAGCTCAGTGGATTAGGGAAGCACAGCCACCCAAGGGCAGCCCTACCCGGTGACCTTGGTCTAGGACTAAGAGCAGATTTTCCTCTTGGGGAGTTGTGATTGGTCGCAGGAACAGAAACAGGAAGAGACAGAGGGATTGAATCCCTTTAACCACAGGATCTCAAGGTACGGAGCACTGAGCTCCTGTTGCAGGTGAGGGACCACTTCTAGAACTCTTCTAGGGGGAGGATGATATTTCAATTTCTAAACCACATCTGTGTTCCACATGGCCCGGGGTTCAGTTTTCCCCAAATTTTTGTGAGGCATGGCCAAGTGACCAAAGCTCCTGTCTTCATTTTTTACTAGAGACCTTACATTTACCACCACTGTGTCGTTACTAGAGGGAGCCAAATGAGCCTCTGCCCCTAACAGCCTAAGGGTACAGTGACTGACACATGCCAGGAGCTCAGTCAGCATTCAAGGATGAGGAAGGAGGCCAATGGTGGTCTTGCCAGTGTGCACCAGGAATAGCTCACGGAGGCCTCTCCATCCCCAGGACTACAACTGCCATGTCACCAGGATACCTAACTACACCTGCCCTGCGAAGCAGCCTAGTGAAATCATTTAGAGCCTGTTGAATCCTCACAGTGTCCCTCAATCGCTGTGGGGCCTAGAGCACGTTCTTTTGCCTCCTTGAACCTCAGTTTCTGACTGTAATTCGACCATCAGCACGTACCCCCCACAGTAAGGATGAAATAAGGTGATGCATGTTCAATGCGTAACAGTACCTGCATCATACTGTGCACTCAATAAACGTCAGCCATTTTTATTGGATGAGCACGTCTAGCTTGTTGACGGTTAACATGAAGAACAAATATGTCATGATGACAGACTCATCTGTTAACGTGACACCACAAATACTTTCTTCTTTGCTAATTTGCAGATATCCCAGTAGGACTGGTGTTAATCATCGCCACCGCTGATCAAACTTTGATTAAATGCCACGCACTGTACTAAGTAAGCCCGTAGATATAATTACCTCGTTCAATCTTCACAACAACCCAGTGAGGTAGATTTCATTATCTTCCATTTTATAAATGAGGAAACCAAGGCTCAGAGAAACGAAGGGAC